CTCTCAGACTGCTGAAGACGAGGGACAACATTGTCCGGCCAGGATATGTACTGCCAACATATGAACGTGTTCAAGGTGTGGCCTGAAGGACGTGACGCCTGGCTGAGGTACAGTAGCAAGGACCCTTCACAAAAGCTGAAGGTTGAACACAGTATTTACACATTATAAAACATCTGTTAGCAAATCTTATGTCTGTGTTGGCCAGCCTACAAGATTCATCCTTCAAGATCGAGCTCTTTAATCTTCCCTCCTTTTCGATAAGTGCGATGGGAACTTGACTCCTCTATTTGAGATGGTTGAAAACGCTGCTCCAACTAATATCCAACTGAAGCAAAGTCATCACCTTAGATGCCCACAATTTTCATTCCTTGCGAATCTAACAACGCACAGACGCACCTGTGTTTTACACACACATTATGCCTACTTGATTTTAGCATAAATACAGTTGCTAGGTTTGGGTTTCGAGATCTGTTGCTTCGGTCATTGGACCGGACACTGGAAATCACTTTCTCAACTTTTGATGCAAAATGCAAATAAACATACGAGTACAATATGATTATGAAGGAGAACGTATTTCATAACTACGTACAGTATCAGTCATCTTAAAGAGTGTTTTGCTTAAATGGTGCATGGAATGCAAGGTCCTTCGAATCCGACAGTCACAGCAGTGAGCAGAACAGAGGTCGTTGTGTCCTGGGACCCACCTTGTCAGATTCTTCGAGAAGAGTTGAGACGCTACGAAGTCTACGTCAACGCCTCTACAAAGCCGATCTACTCAGGAACGCAGACTTTTTGCCATCTTCGTGGTCTCAAATCCGATTTTCAGTACCATTTCAAGGTTGGAGTGACCTTATTGTGTCACCCCTACATGACTTAATCAAAACCACCTTTTCTTTGTAATCGTAGATCCTAATGGTGTTGAAGTGTGACACTGTTATGGATAAGATAGTTCTCACCAGGAGTAGAAAAGACTCGAGGATGAGGAGAGACAAACATCACGACGAGAAGTTCCAAACGCCATCAAGTACACTAAAAAGGCTGCGAAAAGCTCAAGGCAAATCTCTTGAAAACGAAAAAGCAAGTCGTCATCAAAGCTGCTCAGACTTTGAAAAACTGAAGGTACAGAGTCGGATATTTATAATCGATCCATACTTTCGGTTCTGATTAGAATTAAATAAGCAAACTTTTAACCGTATAGGCAAAAAAGTACTTTTTTTATGAGTACACTCCTTCACACTTGCCTGTCCCTTTAAGCTTCTAAAATGTTGTGGATTTAGGTTCACCACCGAAACGGCAAAGCGAATCCCCTCAATCTTGTTGCAGCAGGTCATTCAATCTATCGAAGGATTCAGACTCAAAAATCCGCATCGTTCCCATCTCC